AGACATCATCTTTCTAAATCACTTGTCTTGAATACAAGAACACCACAAGGCTGCATTCTCTCGCCTACGCTGTGCTCACTGTTCATCCATGATTGCGATACTCACTCTGATGACAATTTTATGGTGAAATATGCAGATGATACAACACTTGGCAGTTGCATTTTAGATGATGAATCATCTTATCGTGATGAAGTCAACCATTTAGTTCAATGGTGTTACGACAATGAGTTACAGATGAATGTTGAAAAGACCAAGGAGATCATTATTGACTTCAGAAGAAATCCCAGTAACATTCAACCACTGTGTATCCATGGATCTGAGGTAGAAAGGGTTGACTCCTTTAGATTTTTACGCGTACATATGACTAACGATCTGAAATAGACAACCCACGTTGATTTCTTGGTAAGAAAAGCCCAACAACGTCTGTTTTGTTTCAGAAGAGTGAGGAGTTTCCGGGTCAGCCAAGGTCTGCTGGTGAAGTTCTATCGGGGCAGTGGCTGAGAGTGTTCTGACATTCGCAATTGCTGAATGTTTACGATCAGACTGAAAGCTTTCCCCATAGACAAAGACCTGCTCACAGCGATGGCACATCATGAGAACTCTCAATGGCAACATTTCTCTCTTGAAAATTACTGCCATTGTGTTAATAGGCCACACCGCAACCACAATTAGAAACCACACAATTACTGCGGTGGTACCGCACTTGTGTGCCTAAACATACCTCTTTGAAGAGCAGGGCGCTGTTACTTGCAAAAATGCTGCATGCCTCCAGTTTAAGAACTGGTATCAAAAATGCCATAAACCTTTTGCATATTACCTGTAATAGAGGATCATGCCTCGTCTGTAATCCAAGTTCCTCGACTCCAAGGCAAAACGGCTGGTGGGGTTCAGTTTGGTCTTGCAGTTGGTCTTACAGCTGTCGTGGGAGAGTATGTGGGAAGAATTATCTACATTGAACTCGATAAGAGAGCAGCAAATCGAATGAGTACTTAACCTCAACCCAATTCCCTTCCTAGATCTATCAAATTCCCATAGACTTGCAGATTTTGCAGGAATAGGCAGGATTATTGTTGGAGATGGTGCTCAGCCGGGTATTACTTTAAATGAAGCTTGAGGTCCTTTTAAAGATTTGAAAACAATTTCTGTTGGTGTTTTCCTACAGAGGTAAGATTTCTGCAGCAGAATGACATTAAATACCTGATCTCCATGCGTGGCGGGGAACCGGTGGCTACATATAACACCTGCGTGAATTCAGCCTGCCTGGTGTCCTTGAATACAATCAGTTTCAACTCATAGACCATCTGCTCATGCATGTAATATGTGTCCATCACCATGGTACCTGACGTCACGTTCAACATGCCTACACAAACGAATGGAATGTAACAAACTTAATCTAACAACTAAAATATTGCATTTCAAATTTGATATAGAACAGAAACTGGCTTCAAAGAGCTTACATTGGATTTGATATCCTCATTCTGATGTGTTGCTGCATGGTCAGGACTTTCAACATTTCCAAATAGCTCATATTTTTTTAACCCCTGAACGCCTGGCTTCTTTTGACTGTGACTGCTGGGCGGTGATATGCCCAGTATGCAAAGCTCTGTCCAGCAGCAGGCCCACATTGAAACCGCAGGTGCATGATGAATAGAATGTATGTGTGGTATGCACTAATCCTAACACAAAGCCGCGGCTGTCAAGGGTTGCTGGGGTGAAGGGTTAACAGGGCCAGTATAAATCTTCTTAGCAATAAACAAAATCTTTGATTTAACACTGAAAGTACATTACAAACCTTAATTTGCTACAGGAAGAGTATTTATGCATTGTACATGCATATCTACATGTGGATTTGACAGAGCAAGTTTATTATTATCTTTCGCACGAGGTGCAGAAGGCACGTGAATCAAATCAACAATTATGTGGCTGCTCAGAGATCCTTTGCCACGCTGAGATAAAGTGCAAACTTCATTGGCTGTCTTGATGAAATGGACTCACCTCCATATCCTGAAGCGTCATACCCATATCGTCCAAAGCACCCCCCTAGGTCGCCCTTCTCGTGGATGTAGGAGGCGTTGACTCCACCCTCTTTCAGCATTACTGTATAGTCGTCGTTCCACTCCTGATAGGTTTCATGTTGCCGGCGGCACATCCAGACGTAGCGTAAGCCAGAACGGTCGCTGGGGTCCACGTCCGGATCTAACGTCTCTGAGTATCCGTCAACTGGTGCCTGGTCATTCCAACGAATGATGCGCTCCGACCCTCCCCCAATCCTGACAACCAGCGGGGTGGGAACCACTCGGATGGTGGTGGAGTCGATGGACTCGACCCCACGCTCTCCCCACATGGAGACATTGAGTTCGAAGCGATACAGGCCGTATGGGAGGACAAATTTCTTTACTGCCAGCTCTCGGCGGGTAAAACCAGCCATCTCAGTGTCCCCCAAGTCAAAGATTTCTGTCTCCACGCCATTGTTGTCGTCAATGGAGAATGCCCTCCAGGTGTACATGGTGTACGGAGTTGAGGTGCAGTTAATCTTTACATAGGAGTAGACGTACACATCCTTAGATGCAAAGTACTCTCGGTGGCCATCACTGTCACAGAAGGGATAATATTGATCGCAACCATTGTTATCTCTGACATTGACTTCAGGATAGAAGCAGGGGCCTTTGGTCACAGCAGTCCGCAAGGTGACCGTCTGTTCAGAAACCTTGTTGTGGGCCCGGACAATTATTCTGAAGGCATTGACTGACTGGAAGATGTTGCTGAGAGTGATGTTGGGAGACCTCCCTGCAAGAAGGAGCCCTTCTAGGTAGGCATTGCTGACTTCTGTGAATCGGAGAAAGGGGCTCTGGAACTCCTCAGCATAACGATCCTCACAAGTCCGACGATGCCCCCAGAAGGCAATTTGGTTGATCTCTGACTGCTTGTCACGGAAGTCCACATAGTAGCACACATCCGTGCCAGCGTTGCCAGTGTCTAGCTCAAATTCGATGGTCGTGTTCCGGGCGCGAGGCCCGTGGTCGGTAAGCACCATGTCAAAGATGCCACGCTGGACCACGATGGTCTTCTCCACGACCACCCAGTGCACAGGGTTGGAGACATTCAGCGTGATGGTGTACACACCTTTTTTGGTGTACCACCAGATGGCCCGCGGTTCGGTAGTCCTGACAACGTAAGGGGGCAACGTTGTGGGTGGTTCAGTGGGTGGGGTAGGGGTGGTCACACCCTCTGTTGTGGGGGGCCGTGTGGGCTCCGGAGGGGGACAGAGGGAAGGAGTAGTGGTGAAGTTATTGCGGAGGAGGTATTCACCGATGCTGGACAGGACATCTAAATTCAAACAAAAATATTCCTTCAGCTCATCCACAAGCTCCATCAAATTGACATTTTGAAGGGATGTGTCATTTTCAGGACGCGTCAACTCAAAATGAGTCACATTGGTGAAATTCTGGACTCCTTCAAAGGTTCGGTTGTACAGCAGATCGCCGATAAAATTATCGTATTTCTCACACAAGTCCCTCTGGGTTAATAGGACTACCGGAGTGACGTCGTCGCAGACTAGCTCATATATCGGGCCGGTGGTGTTGGTGGTGTTTTTGACACAGTAGATGGATGTTGTGTTGATCACAGCATCAGAGGAGTTCCACATACCCATTAAGGTGCTATTTGTATCAGTATTGTTCACCATGACACAGTACATATCGGTGCCGCTCTCATCTGTGGAGTTCAACCAAGTCCCATTCAGAATCATGGAGACGTTGACCATTACCTCCTGATAGGAGCAGTTTGGTATCAGGGAGGCATTCATCACTTCAATTTTGGCCTCATCTTCCAGAGTCAGTTCATCCACAACATTGCCCGCCCACTCCTCTATGGTGTACGTGCAGTTCGGAGGTAGAGTCGTTGCGGGGTAGGTGGTAAGGGGTAGTGTGGTCGGTTCCATAGTTGTGGGCCCATAAGTGGGGCCAGGTGTGGTGGGTGGAGGCTCGAAAAACAAATCGCCAAAGTCCCAGGTGTAGGTGAGCCCAGTGCCAGATGCCATGGTTGCCTTGACAACGATGGCCTCTTCCAACCTGAAGTAGTTCTTGCCGACATCAAATCCTTCCTGGTCAAACGTCTCGTTGCCTGTAGAGTAGTCTCCATCGATGATGAGCTCATTGTAATTGACCTCCTTCTGCAGTTGGGTGATAGTCTCGTAGATCCAGATGTCATAGAGGAGGGTCACATCGCTGACAAGATTCCAAATGCGGATGGTGACATTGTAGTGGCCCCAAGTGTCATAGTAGTGGGTCTCGCTCACGACGTGGTACTGCGTGTCAGTGTCCTTAGAACTATCAGCCCTGTCCATGTTCAGCTCTCGAGCAGGGATGGTCTGGCCGTCTCCAAAGTCAATCTCATAGGATGCTTCGGTAGGGAAAGGGACAGTTTTGACAATTAGGAGATGAAAGGGTACACCAACATAGATGTTGGCTACATACAGGCGACTTAGCCTCCGGCCGATCCACTCCATGCCCTGGACTGGATACTGGACTTTCACTGGTTCAGGTATGGTGTACTCTACCTCTCCCAGAAGATTGTAAGCCACTACTGAGACGTAATATGTGCCTGGTTGTTTATAGGGGTGCCTGCGAGTCCTGGGGGCCACGATCCCTAGCTCTACCGGTTCGTCAGAATCCTGGAAGTACCACCTCCACCTGACGCGGGAGCCCCAATCAATGGTGGCCGTGAGCACTGCCTTCGAACCGACCCTGATGTGGAGTTGTTTGCAGGTCACAATCAGGCCAAGAATGGGCTTCTCCATTTCAATCTCCTGGGTGAAGTTCATCCAGCTCACCAGGTTGGAGATGTTCACAAAGGTGGAGTACGGGCCATGCACGGCAAGGGACAGGTTATGCACGACGGGGTTTGTCTCGGCAATCGGGAAGTCTTCCACAGGCTCAATCCCCTTTGCCAGGTAGTACTCAACGGTGGCATCGGTAGGGGGCATGGACTGGTCCCCATAGAACAGGTACTCATAGCGGATGGTACCTATCTCCATGTAAGGGATCACACCAGGCGTGTACACAGTCATAGACAGATCGACCACCGGATTCTGGACCTTAATTTCAATCCAGATCAACTCGTCGCTGACGGCGCTTGTCGCGTGAATGGTTATGTTGTAATCCCGGGCGACTCCAAACTCATGCCACTGAATGTAATGGTCCCCATCCGGCCGCTTCATCTCAATGTCCTGGAAGGTTTTGGACCAGCCATCATCAGTGTCCATGACCATCGTCAGATCGGAGCCGATCTCCATGTCAAATCTAATGGAGATGGTCGTATAGGGCACAATGTACATCTCGGACACCTCCATCTGGAAATCTGTAATGGCAAACTCCACTTGGACTTGCACTATATCCGTAATTGGACCGCTGACCAAGTTCCAGGTGGTCAGCTCTAAATCATAAAACCCTCTGTCACTGTAATATTCCGGGCCAATGACAATGTACCCCTCCCCGTTCACATCATCCATGTAATAGAGTGACGGGTCGGTCAGATCTAGATCATTGCCCGCAAAGCTGCCAGAGAATGACAAATTAGTGCCCGTGTCAAAGCCGACCCCGATTATTTGGGTCTCGCCAAATTTCAGCGGGGGAGGGTCAATGATGTGAAAATTGGTGATCTCAATCTGGATGACCGCCATCGACTCAAGTAAGGCCCAGCTGACCCGGTTAGAAGCATTGACAATGACAGGATAGTAGCCAATTTTCTCGTACACAGTGTAGACACTTCCCAGAACACCTGTCAATGAAAAAAAAAAAAAACAGAAAGATCGCTGGGATTTGAGGTGGGTGACAAGAGGGATTAAAGTTCAAATTTCCTTTTTTAGTTTTCTACAATGGCACTGATGAGACATTTTATAACTGACAAAATTTGAAGATTCACACAGTACAGTTTTATACCAGCCCTGAATAAATCCTCTTTATGTTGCAGTTACCCTTTTACTTTCTCACTGCGACAACAAGGACAACTGAAATGTTCTGTTTGTGAGAAAAGCTAGACAGGACCTGCACCGCACATGTAGCACAGCGCACTGAACAGCAGTGATCGTGCCTACTGCTCACACATGTGATTCGGCAGTGTATTTAATAGGGGGTATTCAGCAGTTACAATGCTGAATATATGGAATGAGCCAATGACACATGGTCAATGGCCCATCAATTAGACTATGCAGACTTATTCAGGAGTTGTCAAAATAGCAATTGTCCCTTTGTCAGCATACCATTGTATTCAACTGCAAGACGATCAGAGAGATTCCGTGCTGGCTCCGTCATGGGTCCCACGCCATTGTTACCATTGATGGTGACATTGACGCACACCCACTGGCCTGAGGGTGCCGATGGGGTGGTGGTTTGAATCACTTCGTAAAAAGGCGTCGTGCTGCTGAAGGCCGTCTCGTTACCGAACGTCAAGTTACCAAACGTCATGTTACCCAGGGTCCCGTTGTCGACGAGCACGGGTGGGGTGGTGGGCGGTGCTGTGGGTGGGAAAGTCGCAGCCACGGTGACGTTGTCTAGGACAAAAGTGCAGTTCAGCTGGTAGATAGGCTCGACCGTCGTTGTGGGTGGTGGTGGTTCATACAGCAGCATGCCAATATCAAGCACCTCGTCGTGACGAAGAAAGAACGTGGGAACTATGCCGTCACCAATATTAATCTCGTAAGTCACATTTGTGCCTGCATGAATGAAAAGAATTCCAATATCGTTCAGCACCCTCGTTAATATTGACCGTTGTAAAACCTTTCACTAGTCACGTGTCAGAGACATAACCTGTATCAGCCGTTTTCTCTGAGAAGCAAAAAACAAGTTCTACAAAATGTGCAGTATCCTTCAAATCAGGAAAATGAGAGAAAAACTAGGAAATACACCGTAACAATCTCCTTTAAACTGCTTCTTAAAGATGCCACATCGGGAAACAAGGCCTCATCTCACGCAGCAAATCCAAAGAGTAGCACTCCCACAGAAATGATGCTGTTTGCTTAATTTCAAAAGGAACCAATCTTTCCAGCTTGAAAGTTTTTGAGAGCCTTAACTATCATCGAGACAACATCAAAGTCAGACCGTTGACAGGCACGTACACGTGCAAGTGTAGTTCTCTATCTGTGAATTTATCCGACTGTCTTGTTGACTACAAGTACTTACCCAGCGTCATGCCAAAGTTGATGACAGTCTCCGATCCAAAGATCTTGGGTGTGATGGGGTAGTCTGTCCAGGACGACTTGGGAACCGAGTCCTTCCACTCAAATTCTTGGATGCGATGCTGCAGAACTACATAATGCTGTGAGGAAAGAAAGATTTCAGGTGAGAGCTGATTTGTACATCAGGTGTTTTGCCCTGTGCCAACAATTTTATACACCCTTGTCAATTAGGGAATAAATATGCGATTGGTTGGTCTTAAACGTGTATTTATGACCGGCTCAGGGTAATGGACATGACTAATGGCTGAGCCACAGGCGAGGGCGTTATCTGCGTTCAGTCTACTGAGCTGGTCTTTATTCCCATTCATAAATACCTTTTTAGTCAGAGGGTGAAAACAAGTCAATATATGAAACATTTCCAGCAATTTTGTTCTAGTATTTTACTTTCATTTTCCCAAACATATTTTTATGAAATATTCCTTATGCAAATTGCCTACTTGGCATGCGCACGGCAAGCCGCATGCACACAGACTCTTGACCAATCACAATCGACTAAACTGTCTTGCATCCAGGTGCCAGTGCGTGATTTATGCAGCAGGCATTATCACTTCTTGGTGGGCATTATCAAAAGTTAATACACGGTCAAGTCACACATTGTTAAATAGGGATACTGTCTGCAGTATTTATCAATGTTTACTAAAACGTTTGAGCAGAAATACTTGACATTATAACCAGCTAGAAACTGAAAAGATTTCTCTTCCACTTAAAACTAAACTAAATTTTTCCTACGAACCTTCCTGAATCCTCTGAAATTCCCCAACAAATCAGGAAGCTAACAACATGTTCTTTGTAATGAACATTTTAAGGGACATCAGGCCTCACATTGATTGACCTTCCTCAAATAGTAATTCCTCACAAACAAGGAAGGAAATTAATTACTCTGTACTGACCTAATTATAATTCATAATTCCAAAAGACGTTTTTCAAAAATAAAAGTTGAATAAAGGCCAACGAAACTATTATTCCTTCCGTCACTTTTTGCACGAATTCTCTTAGTTATCATTTATGAATAATAATGAAGTTGGTAACAGTGTGTCCACTGTCCAATTTGACTTTTGTGTGAAATTGACAAAAATTGTTCCATGTGGACTGAAGTTTTTCACATCCGAAGCAATTAAGGACCTTCAATCAGAGAGTTACCCACTTCATAAATGTCCTGGCTGATGTCATTGTAGGCACGCAGAGTGATGTTATAAACTCCATCATCCATCCAGGTGTAGTTGGTGAACATCTCCTGGGTGACGTGCTCGTCTCCATTGCCAAAGAACCAGTGGTAGGTCACCTCCGTGCCGAGGTGGGGATTTACAGTGAGGATTTGCTCCTCCGTTACTACGGCTATAGGGTGAAGATCACAAAAATGGAACAGATGATGAACAGCCCCACTTCCATACAATGCAAAAGACATTGAATGGTCAAAGTAAAATATCCAAGTGGTTATGGAAGTGATTTTCAAACTGTCGACAATGTTTATCTTGGCCCACTTGTAAATACTTTCTCAGACAATCTCTAATATAGGTGTCCACGATCATCTCTACTAAAGGAGTCCTTTAAGAAAGACGTACCATTTCTGTGTCATGCAGTGAACAGTTTCTTCTCTGAGTACTCTGAGACTCCTAAGATGCATACTTCAAAATTTCAAGGACAATCACTCAGTGTCATGTTAAATTTGGACATTGCAAGACATATTCCGTTGTGTGACCAAGGGACTCACCTAGAAGGGGGGCATTGAATGACAACAGCGAGACTTTTTCCATGACCTTGATCTCCTGTTGCATGTCCCATATGCCAGAGGCCAGGTTGTTACTGGCATTGATAGAGATGTTCCGGCGGCTCTCCGGCCAGGTGTAGTTGTGGAAGACGTGCAGGTGGGAGGGGCGTACCACGTGGGCCTTGAGGGCGTGCTTGTAGGAGTGCGAGGATGCACCGGAGGAGTAGGCGACGTAACCACCGGAGAGCCGACTGCCGTAGTTGCTCGTGCTCGGAAGGATCTCAGGGCCGTCTGCGGAAGAGTCGGCCGACTGATAGGCCAGCTTGCCCGAGTTGGAGTTGTACCAGCCAATGACATCTCCGGCTTGGACATCCACCTGCTCCGAGCGGGTCAGCGTCAGGAAGTTGCGACCTGTGTCAGAGAGACTATAGGTGATCTCCGACAGGAAGTCATAGTCCAGCGGCAGGCCGCTGAAGACGTGGTGACCCTCCAGGGAGCCGTCCGAGTGCTGGACGCAGTCACGGCGGTTGAAGCTGAAGCGGCCCGCGTCCTCACAGGTCTTGCTCCAGATGCTGGCCTGCTCCTGGCACTTGACACTTGGCCTGTGGCAGCTTGCTGTCCGGTGGCAGTACACCTCATTATTGGTGCAGCGCGGCCGGTAAACCTTCACGTAAAGGACACATTACTCGTTTATAATAAAACGAATGCAATTAGCTAATAGCGTCCAATCAAAAAATGTCAAAGTGCCACGTGACCACATGCTTTCCCCCCAGTTGGCCACCACTACTGGAGATAGGCATTTGGTTAGCAACTGCATGTCATGCACTACAGGCTTATTTTCACATACAACACATGAATTATGAACATAAACAAATGGCTGAATGGGGAGCAACTGTGCCGGTTTGGTTGTCGTCTTTTTATTCCGGATACTTTTTGTCCTTGATCATAATTTTTGAAGGCTTACCCACTGACTTTGGGTGTTACACTGAGGTCACTGCCTGTGACAAAACCAGATGTATGTCGGGTCACGCGGGTAAGTGACAGCACTCAATTTGGGTTTTTCAAAAAGTCTGAACAAAAATTTTGCAGATGATGTCACATTACACATTTTTTCGGTAATAATTTCTGATGAGCAGTTCCGTATTACTCGATAAAGGCACTGTCCGGCCACGTCCAAAAGTAGTGGCTGTGGCTGTGAAGAATGCAAACAACACATGCCCCCGTGGAAGCCACTGGGTTGCACCAGCAGCCGCTTCCAACAAATACAAGTGTTGATCACAGCCGTAGTCAAGTAGGCTGCAAGGAATGCTGCATCCCAATAACTTGGCTACGGCTTAAAATTACACATCACTCTATGGGAACTGGCTGCGGCAATTACCATAGACTCGTGCACAATTTCAAGCCACAGCCGAGCAATTTGGACAATTGACCCCCTGACCACAAGAAAATCAACTCTTTGGGCACACCTGAAGCGTCACTGTGCCTGTAGTGATTGCATTCATCTCCCAGGCAACGATGCGGCCATCGTGCTGGATCACCGAATTGATCATGAGGTAGACGCGGCTCGTAGGCTGGTTGTTGAGGGACTCATCCTGGTCAAGCATCTGGCCATAGGAAAGTGTCGCGGCATCTACACGAAATAGACAATCATTTCAGGGACCTCAGAGCAAGTTAAATACTCCAACCAGTTCTTGCGATATTCATGACAGCTGACCAATGCTTTTACAAGAGCAAACCTCCCTAGGGTTTGCTTACGAAGGCAGGTAGTCTGGCAAGTTAACAACTCCCTTTACAGTTTAACATTCCCAAGTCACACAAAGTCTTCCATTGTTCAAGAAACCAATGCCACATGCTCATCTGGTCATCTATGGCCATTGGGCAGTAAATTTACTTTACAGTAACTGTGCCTCAGTTTTCTTACCTATATTATGTAATATCCTCCAAAACCTTTTGGCAGAATACAAGTAGAACAGGTAGTTTGGGAGAACTAAAACTCAATTTTTAGGAAGTAAAATACAGGTGAGTGTAGTAACAAGACTTTCTTTTATTCCTTACAGCTTGAAAGCTGTCCGAGCTCCTAATTCCTGTGTGACTGCCCCCTAGCAATCTTTGGGGTTAAGTTCCCCATAATTAAGCGGTACACACTCCAAAGCAATCTTTACCCTCTGCAACAAAAGTCACAACCCGGCCGTCTTGAAAATCCACCGTCGCGCTCAGGTTGGTGCCCTGGTAGATGTAGAAATCGCAGCCAAATCTGTGGTCGTATTCCACGGCCAGGGGGCAGTCCACCTGGACATCCGTCATGTTGGTTTCCACGGTGACACTGATGGTCTGGTTCTCCTTGTTCAGCCACAGGTCGGTGGCAGTCGCAGAGATGGAGTATGTGCCAGGTTTGCTGCAATCAAAGAGAATAGTTGATGCTTATTCCCAATAGGCAGTTCAGTACCCCACCAGCACATGCTAAAAATGAAGCATATCATAGGTTAACCCTAACCTTCCCCTACCACACAGAATTGAACACCAGTAAAGTGTGTGAATTTGTGGCACTGGGTACTGTACCCCTAAACTGCTTGTGCTTTAACATGGGTTCAGACATACCCAAAATAAACAGAGTCCAACAGTTTTTGTGCACAGTTTACCCTATGGTGTTGGAATTTGTGTGAATGGGTAGGGTTCCTAGTAAATCACTCTGGGGAGTTAGGGTTAATCAAAATGAGTGCATCCTGACGTTTCAAACTCGGCAAGTTCTTCACAGGAGAGGAACTTGCCAAGTTTGAAACGTCAGGACGTACTACACGAATTTGGATTGATTCACTTCAGTTCTTTCCAGTCAGTGAGCGGTTTGCAGGCTAACATTTCATAGGTTATCAAAGACCATCAATACGTACGAGTTCAAGGTCAGCCTTATCAGCACAGCTGTAGAACAACTCACACGTACTGTCCATGTTCAAATTGATGTGATATCATGTCTTTCCTGAAATGACTTTGCCTTTCCAAAATCTGAACTGGTTCACTTGAATGCTATCATTTCAAAAAAGTCTAAAGGCACTGAAAGTTCTTTAAAAAGGAAAAGCTTCAAATCATGGGGCCAGGAAGGAGTGAGGGTGAAAACTAGTTGTTTTTTCAGCCTTATCTTTTTAAGATAAAAAGATTCTCCATGTACCATCCATCGGTACAGAATGAAGAAAATTAACATGCAAGGGGTTGAGGGCTCTCTGCATGAATCTCACAGTAGGCCTACATGAGATTGACACCTACTTGTACTTGTGGGAAGTTTCTGCTTCAGATAAAGCCAGATTGCTGAATCCATCTCCGTAGTAGAAGTCATAGGTCACACCGGTACCTCGTGTGATGTTCCCAACCATGTCGACTGGCTGGTAGCAGACTTCCAAATCTATTGGGGAATAAGTGGTTCTCAAAATCATACCTCAGTCCATTCAACAATTAACACAGTCCCCCCCCTCAGAAGTCTCTTTAGGATGCTGGGGGCAGTGACATTTTTTTTCTTTTACGTTCATTCACAATTTTTACAGGCCTACATGTAAGTCATTTTTCTTTCAAAGTTTCAAAGGTTTGACTAAAAACTGCAACAAAATGAGGTGTAATTCATCTACAATTACCAATCCCGAGTTAGAACAGATTTTTCATCATCTTTTCAGCGGACAATTTAGTCTGGAGCATACTAGCAAGAGGCAAGAGTTCCAAATCTGGACCCCAGGCAGTCACCACCAACTTAACCTAATTACATGCAATGTCGCCTCCCCTCGTATTCATTGAAGACAAGCATGACAAGTCCATTCATAGACCCCCTGCGTATGACGTCACGTTGGAGGGAATTTCTTTGTTCCTCTGGGATAGGCTCGAGTACACCTTTTGTGCATTCATTGTCATTAAATCTAAAAAACAAAACATGTTCTCTGGGAGGGCGCTCAACAGAGGCCCTCTATTGGGAAAACTGATATTGTAAACTGAATATTAAACATTGGTCAAGAAATTTGTGGTGGCCAAATATGGAAGTTGGAACTCTTTCAGAAACTTTTTCTCAAGGATTGTGGTAGCTATCTGAATATGGAATTGTTTCACAAATGTTTTCATTGTAACCATTCGGCTGCCAACATTTATGGTCCCTTACCCTCATGACTCCCTTTAAATATTGCAGTTCAAGGCACAAAAACGGAGCACATTCAAAGATTGTGCGCAACACTTCTTGCACAGTCAGATTAAAATAGCCACAAGCTAATAAAAAATGCAAAAGACAAGTAGGCCTAGAATCCCCAAGTTCAAATCTGCACACTTTTTTTTTTAGTTTTAATTAAAGATTGCACTGAACAATATTAAACGATTATGTTAACATTTGCTGACTTGACTACCCCCACAACATGGGCGAATCGGGTTGGCATAGTGGTTCTTTCCTCGCCTTCCACCTCTGCAGTCTGGGTTTGATTTCCGGCTCAGTCCACGTCATGCATGTGGATTGGCCTGGGTGTAGGCCCTACTTGATATTCCGTGGGTTTACCATTTAGGCCTACCCAGAATATTCCTCTGCGGTTTTCCTCCCACCTCTAAAACTGTAACTGGTTCTTATTTCAGCGTGCCTGAGTCTTCAAAAATATGAAGTTGGAGCATCTCTTGGAAGAAGATATGGGGTCTGTCGTCCGCCGCGCTCTATCAGATCATGCCGATCCCTCGAACCATGCTCGAACGCAGCGGACTTTGTCGAAGCACGGGAGTTTTGCCACGTCTGCAGGCAGTTGCAACCAGACAGTGTAGCTAATTTACTATCTTTTTCTTCTCTATTGTACCTACTTTATTTGAGCACGCAAGGAGGTGTAAGGCCGTGACTACCGGAGAGGTAGTTCTGTCATCATGTCTGTAGTCAGGGCTGGGTAGCGTCTGGAAAGTAAAACTCCGCAACACATGGGCGCCGCCATTTTTTGAAAGTGTCAAGTATTTGTAGAGGGCGGTAGACACAGTGAAACCGACGAGATCTTCACACGGACCTTCTTCACCCACCCGCTTGCTTTGGGTCCCTCCCCCGTGCCAATGATACAAGGCTTTGTTTTTAATACACATCTCATGCAAGAATCTGCCTCAATATCTCACGGAACCAGCCGAAACGTAGGCCTTCAGCCCAATATCGACGGGCACCAACCCAAAGCAGTAAGAGTTGAAAAGGAAAAATCAATAACTTTTTACCCGGGGGGGGGGCTAACCGTAGCTCTTGTAGGCCTACAATTTCAAACGCATCTCACTTGGGTTAGCGTAAACAGACAGCTCCAACAAAGAAATCAATACGTTGCTATTTGCTCAATGCAAATACGATCTATCAGGGTATTGCAACCTGTAAACTGAGTGACGGGATTTTTTAGGAAAGAATATTCCTGATGGAGGCTTTGGTGTATAAGGTATGGAAAATGTTTCAAGTTTTAGGCCTAATTGCAATTTTGCCAGAGTTCCCAAATTGTCATTACCCGTCCAAAACTTCATCATATTTTGATTTATAAGCCTACAGGAGTTTCCCAGATGTCAGGACTTTCAATTACAAAACAAATAGGAACCCCCACCGCCCAATCCCATTGAAAAGCATCCGTGTTCTTTATTTTAGAACGGGAACAATCCTTACTATGAAGCAACCAGCAACTGTTCCCTTTACGGTCTATACGAAACTAGACAGATTTCTCAAATTCCAAACACGAACAGATGCAAGCGACTGCTGACCCTGCTGGACTCAACCTGACCCATTTAAAGAAAATGGGAAACACTGACAGAAACTCACCCCAAAGTTCTTCCAGAGTAAATCCGACGAGAACTAAACGCGTGGTAAAGACTTTATTTGCGAGCACGCCACCACAGTTGTAGAGTGGCTTCGAGGGACAGGGGAAGTCTGCACACGCGGTCGAGTTGCCTATCGCTGTCTGCCCGTAAGACTGACTGCAGAAACATAGGAAGCCTTCCTGAACGGCAGCGTATCTGTTGGAGTCAGGGCATACAATTTCATCAATGTCCTTCAGAAAGTTCACACAAAGCAACAAACAAAAATATAATCAAAGAGACCGAAAGGCACTGGGAACTACGCAAAAACTGAGACTTTAAACTTTATATTTTTTTTTGCACACTAAGCTAGTTCTCTAATTTCAATCCATCCAGGTTAAAAAATCAATTCAAATAAAAAAAAAGTTGGACATAAAGCGATGGAAACATACTCGCGTCGGTCAACGATGTCTCTTTTTTGTGAGAGATGTGTCAATAAAACTGTTCTATTTGAAAGATATAAAATATTAAGTGTGTCACCAGACAGAAAGAATGTCTTTGAAAATACTGAATGACTTGCCATCTGCCTTTGAGATATTTCCAGATGACTTTTAAGCGCCTGAATCATGGGTTAATTATGCGCCATTATTCACCGTGACTTCTATCCCTTTTGAATAACCACCAATTTTCACTACAATTATCATTCGTTCACTAATGCCACTCACGTGTATGATTTCTTGGCGCACCGAGCGATACATAACTCAGGGGTCATCTCCGCTAGGCCGAACTGGCCCACCGGCACGGTGAACTCACGGTCAGCGAAATTCTCCAGGAAACATCCCTTGTAACCTGTTCAGAGAAGGAGAAATGTTGGATCTTGAGAATGAAGAAGTGGTAGCTTGAAAGCAATCGCACTTTAAATCAAACTGCATCGTGCCCCAGTGATAAAGCAACTCTTGTAAATCGTGATCACTTTACTTGTCCGATTCAAGAAGAAATCGAAGAATTGGTTATCGATGGCTGTGCTTGAGGTTCCGGTCATACATCGTTAGTAATCTCTATAAGTATAGAGGGATATGGGGATTTTCACAATCGTGTCTGATAAATCAAGTTGGCTTTAGTTGCATCAAATGGGATCGGTTTTTTATTGGTGCAAATTTAATTGAACCTACCACTCTGACCAGAACACGGATTCAAGAATATCAAATCAAATGGACATAATGGATGGAAAAGGGTTCCGATGGCGAAGACTTCAAGAGACTCTATCAACAAAAAAAGGTCCAATGCGCATCCGGCGGATCTCAGAGGTGTAGCATACCTATCGGAGAAATGACCGCTTGGAGTGAGTAGGCCCTCGCTAAGCTGCTTCCGACGGTGAACTCGTCACCCACTTTGTAATTGTTGTAATCGTCGTTGGAGTGGCCAGTGTAGCGCATGTCCATCATTTCCGACGCGGAGGTGCCCCAACGGATCCGCGATCCGCCGCTCGCCCACCGCCATCCGATGACGTCCCCAGGCTCAAAGTACAGCCACTCAGCCTCGTTCTCGATCAGGTGCGTGTTGGCCTGATTGTTGGCGTAGCCGGAGGGTATCTCGGTTTCTCCCGTCAGACGAAACGTGGTCTTGGCGTCGTTGGTTATTTTGTACACGCCCGCCTTGAAGCCACCGTTGGTTGCCGCCCAGAAATTCCAGCCCTTGATCTGTTTTAGATGTAACGGTAGAACTTTATTTCTTAGTCTTACAACATTGTCTTCGACAGAAAGAACTTCACTCATATTTTGATATAATACATTTTTTAAATAACCTTTAAAAAAATTGCACAAAACGCCTGTTTTATTTTCAGACCACCTTCACAAGCGCACGTTGATTGAAATTACGGCGCCTAAAACTAAGGTTTAAAGTATCGGTGTTAAGCTAAGTTGTGCCCATTTAGAAGGCTGCTTCAACAGCATGAATGTCAGAAATCTGTGGGAATTAATAAAGTCGTCCGTCTGTCTGCAGAAACCATACTTTGGATCAAATCCCCAGTTAATGCTAGATTGCTGAGAGATGAACATATCTATGAACAACCAATATAAACTTATAGCGCACCCCCCAAAAAAATTCATTTAAAATATTGAGGCAAAACCAATTATTTTCCTCCATACTGACCTGACCGTAGCAGGTGAATGGTTGGCTGTGCATGATCATGATGTAATTATCACCGTCGTTCGATGAACGGCTTTTAGGATCAGGACCGTGGATTTCTTGGTCACAGTCAACACTGAAATCTACAGGAAAAAGTACATAAGTCAAATTGTATCATCCCTCTATTAGAAACAGACATCAGAAGTAATTAATGTGAGGAAAGCACAGGTGGCCCGCTTAAAAGAAAGTTAACGAGGATCCAGGATCGTGTCAGTAATTTAATGCATCGTATCCGATTTGCTCTTTCTGTGCAGATGTGAACACTTTTGCATGAACAAAGAAATGTGATTCCCGTTGCTATACACTCGGAAAAGTGTAGAGGCGTTCTTCGATCTGAGCTGTCCAGACCTATGTTGACTTTCTAAAATTTCAATCATTTCTCCCCCCCCCCTTCAGGTCCAGCGGTGCAGAGGTCACGCATGTTCGCCGCGCCCACATAGCGCAAGGAGGGGCCTCACATATTGCCAATCACATTATTTTGACACGCAGGTGGGTGTGGGTGGTTATAAAATTGTACATATAATCGAAGTTATAAGAGTTGTTTGAATCGGTGGGCTGCCAAGTTAAAATAAAAAGAAAGTTAAACTTGCTTTCGTCTTCGAAGTAGGCTTTGAAAGAGTAGGCCCTGCTGGTCGTCGAGCTGACCGAGTAGACCGACCCGACCGCTATGTTGGTGGAATAATCCGAAATTCCCGCATATCGCAGGGTTACGGACTCCAAGCTCAAGTCATAGTGAAGAGCCGGGTAGGCGTGGCGAAAACCCAGCATATCCCCCGGCTGGAACAAGATCCGCTCGTTGGCCGGCACCTCCACGGACGTGTAGCCGGCGTTGCTGGCCGAGACGGTGTTCTCACCGACCAGCTTGAAATAGTTGCCCGTGGTCTTCCGCCAGACGCCCGGCTTGAAGGGCTGGTTGAGCGTGCTGTAGAACACCCAGCCTTTGATGCGGCCGTAGCAGCTGAGCTCGGTGGAGTCGAAGATGTAGAGACGATTATTGGAATCCGAGATAATGCGGTCTTTGATGGACGCCACGGCCATTTCGGTATAGCCGCAGTATGGCTCCTCTGTTAAATAAAACAGTATAAGTCAGTTGTTAGATTTCATGAGGGGCGGCCTATTTTGGAGAGTGCGCAACCAGGGTAACGAACGTGAATTTGGCACTGGCAAATGTACAGGAGATGTTAGGAGTTACAGTTTTCAACACATGCCTGATGATCTCCTTTTGACAGCTGTAAATCCCCGCCAGGGTTAACCTGGACCAGTTCCTGTTGCGAATACAGATTTGTCGAGGACGCTATAGTTACTTAGAAATGAATGTCTTTCATCAACTCGTATTTTATGTGGCTCCAACGTGTCACCGTCGTACCTTAGAGTTGGACCTGCCCCTTTGTAACTATCTCACTTCTCCTGGTAGGCTAATAATATCGGATAAAATGATCGTCTGAAACTTTCCTTCGTTGTCATTCCTGCTAATTGTGACTTTCACAAACCCTTGGATCGACGCCAAGGATGAGATGAGGCATAATCTTTCGTAAGTTATGTAAAGTCAAAACTGAACAGTCCGAGATAACGCTTGATTAAATTAATCAAGTGATGAATCTGGGGCCTACACGTCACGAAAATGAAACCACAGGATTGGAATTGCCGCGCAGTATTGTTTCGGTAGAAATCTGTCCGCAAGTAACTGTACACTCCCTAAGAAACAGGTATACAAAAAGTCACGCCACGTTTGATTCTTTCTCATGCACTGATGAGCCATACATACCCGCAAAGATGGACTGTATCACCAGCAAAGAAACCTGCATGAATACGCAACAAAACAGTACAGTTTATCCTTTCAAAACCATCTTTAAGAGATAGAATTGTTCAGGAAAATGCTCATGTTTATGAAATTCTCAGCAGTCGACTCACACCAACATGTTTTTAGATTCTTCAAAGAGGCATTGGAAGTTTGACTGTGAAAAAGATGAATGCAGTAAA